GTCAAAAAATCTAGTAATTAGTACTTATATTATAGCCTATGGGGAAGGGAGCTTGAGTCCTTCAAAAATTTAGTCAATTTGTGCCTATGCCTTTTACTTTCACGGAATCCAAACGAATTTTAATACAACGAATAAACTATAATTCCATATTATTCAATATAAAAATAATTATTCAGCAACCTTTATATTCTGGTAACTAGGTACTTATTATTTAATATTGTCTTCTAGAATTTATATTAAATCGTACTTTGATATGTTTGAAAATAATCTAGTATGAATTTACTTTAAACAAAACCACGGTTATAAAACCTGAAATACGAAATATAACCGTAAGTTTGTAACTATATGGTACTGTATGTAATGGACGGACGGATGAACTGACACAACCGATATGAAGTGCTCTAAACTAATGTTTATAAACTTAAACGTCTATTAAGTTTTTAAAGTCTGTTTAAGTATGAGTTTATTTTTTATTGTGATGATTCAAGAAAGGTCAAACAATAGAATGAGCTGGTTATTTTAGTACAACGGCTATATATACTAGATTCAATTAAAAATAGCACATTATTCGTTTATTTTTGATTGCAATAAAATTCTAGACTGATTTTAACGAAACTGGTTTTGACAAAATAATTGAATCTGTGATTTCAGAGATTTCAGCTATCACAGTATCACTACATATTATTTACCTTTGAAATACTTTGAAAATCGATACTCATAAAGTTCAATTTATTTTTAAACCTTTCCAAAACTACATGGACACTAATAATCTGAGCTTTGTTCACTGATTGTATCACTTACGCGGTGACTATTATAGTTGATCTTAACTGTATATCCTAATAATATCAATATCCTAGGACCTAGATCCCACACATAGCATTGTGGTATACATAAAAATATTATTTCATTAATTAAACAGCTTCCACAAGAGAATACGCCAGGTGATTTAATGAACGTAGTAGTGCACATACATGGCGGGGCGTTCTTTGGTGGAGAAGGCATAACCTATGGTCCTGAATATCTTTTGGACATCAACGATTTCGTTTACGTATCCATAAATTATCGTTTGGGAGTATTAGGATTTGCTTCCACCGGCGATAGTGTTTTGCCTGGAAATAACGGATTGAAAGACCAAGTAGCAGCATTGAAATGGATACAACAAAACATCATTGCGTTTGGTGGTAACCCGAACAACGTCACAATCGCCGGTATGTCAGCTGGAGCCAGTTCTGTTCATT